TTTATTATATATATATATATATATCTGTGTGTGTGTGTGTGTGTGTGTGTACATTTCAATTGTTAATCCTAATATAAATACATAAATCTTGCTTGAAAAAAATATCTACTCATAACTGTAATAAAATTTAAAATAACACTCCCAATTTAAAAGAAACATTTTTTAAAAAACTCATTCCTTTCTAATAATCTTTGTTTTTCAACAACACTTTATAAATTGTATCCTAGCCTACACCTATTGGGGCCCCATCTGCTCTCCTGTTAATCTGTCACTGCTGATTACACATGCACTGTTGTATTTCCTGTACACTTGATTTACTATATGCAGTACTTTCATGGGAAACACTTAAATAAATCTCCACTGATAAAAATTCAGAAAAGCTTAAGCCTCATGAAGAGAAAAAAACTATACCCAAAGCAACACCTTTTCCTATATCTGGGAGAAAAAAAATGTTTGTTTTAGCTTAATATTCTTCTATTATACCAATTATAGTTTGGATAATACAATATAAATTATTATTATGGTCTTGCTCAGTTAATTGATCCAACGGGAAAGATACATACGTCTTCACATATCTAATCAAAAATTTACAATACTTCTTTTTTTTTTAGAGTCAAAATGAATCATTCATAATTATACAATATAAAAACCGATTTATATTCTAGTTTGAAATTACTACATATTCTTAACATAAATATTAAAACACAAAATTCCTGTGGCACTAGATTAATAACAATTAAATTGGTTAACATAAACAAAATCTCACATCATCAGAAACTACTGTACTTAATTAAAATCGGTTGTTGCTTATTTAACTATAAGCCAACTAAATACAGTTGGTTACGCAAATTATATGAAACAGTTGCGATTAAATTACTAAAAATGCATCAAAAAATTATATTACTCACTAACAAATCTGGATGAGAAACTAGTAATCTTAAATCAACATAAACTGGAGCCTGGAGTCCACTTTTCAGGGTGAAATGACCAAATTTAACGACTCCTATTTCAAAAAGTGTAGAATATAAGCTAGCTAGTTTAATACTACACATTATCTGAAGTTAAAGTTAATTGGCCAGCTTATGTATTAACACTTAGTATTGATCACTCTTCACGAACAACAAGGTAATACCACTGCTGTCACACGCGTGACAAGAGTATAATAGCACAACCTTGAAAACTGTCACGTGACCCAAGATGTTAAAATACAGTTATAGTGTGAACGCCTTTTCTTTTGACATGTATAATTAATATTAAGATGCACATTTTTTATATTGTTTAGGAATTTAAAAAATGCCAAGTATTACAAAATTATGATTACTTCACAAGTGATCAAAATTTACACTGGTTCATAAATTCAAAATCTACTAATATAATAAAATTTCTAATACAGAACTCTGTTGTTTTGTAATTCACGTACGTAATAACTAAAATTTCAGCTTTTAAGCCCAATTCAGCATTATTCGTGGTAAGGGTGGTGTTTCTTTGTGATAGTGCACATTAGTGACGTAAAGTTAACAGCATTTAATTTTTGAGTTTCAAAAATTTGTATTTACAGTATTGGGGCATTATTATTTTTATTGTATTATTGGATATAAAAGGGCTTACCAAAAGTATGTTAAAATAATTTTACTTTTAAAAAATGACTAAAAAAAGATTTCCGTCAGTTTGTCTTTAAAGGTATATGGGCTATATGAGCAGTTTTCGCTCTAGAATGTTTTCTTTACAGTTACATGATAATTCAGCTGCACATCAGAGATCACCACTGCTAAAACGTAACTTACTTTGAATATAATGCTATTGAAGAATAACTACCAGTACATCTATTTTTACTGATACCTAGGGCCCTTATCCCTTAGTTTTAAATGTTGTTAATCAACACATTGAGGAAGTTTAAAATGTAGAAAGTGTTGCTTAACACTTATAACGTAAAGTCAATCAAAAGTGAAGTATTAATAAGAAAAAAGAAAGAGAAAAAAAAAAGCGCGAGAGAGTTGCGTGTTACAAGAGTACATGTCAGTCTTTACCTATTACACAGCCTTCTCATATAGACAGCTAACTCTGTTAACAAATCATAAAATTAAAGTATAATAATAGCACTAAATTTTTCATATCCTTTACCAAATTGGATTTCATCAGTCAACAGTTCAAGGATATGACTAAAATAAATCATTAAACGGTCACTATGCCTCAGTTATATTGTTTTCGCTGTACGTTTTATTCTCCACCCGTCTTCTTTTTTTATAGATCACGTGACAATTCTCACGCTCTCTTGTTTCTAGAACTATCATGTACTTTGTCGAATGTTCAAGGTCTTACTAGAAATAGGTTACGCTGGTATAAAAGCGGGGAATGTAATGTGTGGGTAGATAGTGAGTAATTGAACTGCAGTCAGAGAGCACGAGAGACGTTCGTTGCTATAGCGTTTGTTTTAACGCGATTGTTGAAGTTGAGTGTATCGGTAAAGTTATATTCGGAAAGAATAAACCAGTTTTATTAAGTAAAGTCTTGTGTCGCTTAAGTTTCGTCGGTACGAAGTTACGGAAAATCAATTAACAACGGTGACGTAACAAAACGATGACGCAACAATACTATTGCCGTTAACAGATGATTTTGGCATGATGTAGTGATAATTGTGATATTTAGAAATTTTCCAAGTGTTTAGATTTGACATGACGTCTCGAAATTTTTTGAGATTTCAGCCAAAAAAAAGTAATGATAATAATGAAAAAAAGAGAGAGAGAGAGATAATCAGATTTGTTTGTTTTTTGAATTTCGCGCAAAGCTACACGAGGGCTATCTGCGCTAGCCGTCCCTA